CACTTCGCACACCACCTGCCCGTCGTTCAAGAACTCCTTCCAGTGGCAAGCGCGAGGGCGAGACGCCGTCATCGCTCGCATCCTGGCGGAGCACACCGGCCACCTGCTTTTGGGCTGCCACATCATTCCAGGCAACCCTCGCAGAATCAGCCCGGCCGTTTTTCTCCTCAACGCCACCGCCCACGTCTACATGGAAGCGCTGTACTGGGACCCTGATCTCGTCTACAAGGTAATTAAACTATAGCTATTAACGAAAAAATAAAATAAAATAAACATAAAAAAACAGTTTCACTGAGCAAATGTTGGGATGGCCCCTTGGTTTGCTTCTGGACGTAAATGTAGCTTCACTGTGCACACGTTTTGTTGAACTCTCCTTTTGCTTGTAGTGGTAAGGACGAGTTACTATTCTGTTAGCAATGCAGAAAAATCATACCTGCAATTCGTTCACCGATGCAAATAGTTATAACTCGGGAACGAAAATGTCTAGTTTTTATCAAAAATGGCTAATCTCACGCTTTTTTAAAATTTATTTATTTATTTTAAACTTTTGCTCTTCTTTCAACTATTTATAGTTAAAACGATGGGAAGGGATTCTGGAACTCAAGAAGACATGCGCAGATGATCTTCTCCCCCATAAGTCACGTTTTTGCAGTTTTTTGACTAAATATATTAAAAATAAATAAATCTAAATAACACCCGGGAGTGTTCGCAATAGATCTGTGATATCCAAGCCAGGCCAATTTTATGTTTCTGAATTACTGCGATGCAATAATTGTCTAATATTTAATGTATTCCTTCATTGTATGATTCAGAGAACGCCTGGCCTTCTACATATTTTTATCATTTCGTTGAATAATTTCCCGTGAGCATGTTCAAACTTGATCGCTGCGCTGCGCGATATCAGTCAGATACTTTGGCTGCAATGGCACCAATGCATTTTGCGCTTTTGGAGTAGGTGGTACGTGTCACGGCATTATTTTTAGCTGTGTCTATGAGACGCGCCAACAGAAAACGTAATCAATTGTCTTATCTAGCATCGAGTGTCACTATTTCTTACCAGGGAGAAAGGTGTTGTGCGAGGGACGTCTATTAGGAAATATGTAAAACATTTGCGAAATATTCAAAACGGAAAGAAGACAGACTTTCTAAACATGTTTGTGAAAAAATGTAAAATGTGTTTGTTTAGAACATGCCAAAATCATTTGTGGAAATTGTAATTCATATTAATTAATAAGATAATAAGATGTTTAATGATTTTCGCGTGTTCTTTGTCAATTTTTACCTTTTTCACCATAATTATTTAGACAAGATTTCTGCAGTGTTGGATTCATTAACAATGGTTTTGGTGGGCACGTATAAACAAAATAAAATTCATATTTTAGTAAATAGAGCTTTTGATTAATCGCATTCACAAAACGTTGCAGCTATATCTGAGATATACATTGCGGGTACTAGCGTGAGACCACCTATTGCGGACACACTCGAGTACCTAGTATTGGTTTGAGTGTTATTACTGCACATGCCAAAACTTAAAAATTGAGGCGGAACTGAATCGACATTTTTAATTTGAACGAGGCAGTAATAGCACTACAACATTTCGTGGTATGTTCAACATTTTATCGGACACCATAAAATCTCACGATTAATGTGAAAATTCACATTAGTGCGAGTAAACAAATGAAATCTCCTGCAGCGGCACGATCCGACAATATAGAGAGGTGTTGCTTATGATATATCTATTTAAACAATATCTTATATATCTTCAAGCAACAGATTTCATTCAGGAAAAAACTCTATCTTTAATAATTTAGTAGCATGAAGTCTCCGAAAAAATGTTGGACTTTTGCAATTAACCCAAATTCAGTACTTTCAATGAACATGAGTCCTGTACCATTCCCTTAAACGTCCTTTACACTATCGAACATCAAACATTTATCAAAAACGATAGAGCTTTTTTTTTAATTTGGAAAATTCCCCAGGGGCCTCATGTAAAGTACCCTCCAAAATAAAAATATCGGATTCAAATCCAAGAAGCCGACATAAGCCAGATCGACTGCGGAATGTCAATTTTGGAGAAAATTGCGCGGAACAGTTTAGTATTTAGCGTTGTTCACGGACGGACAGAGACTTTTTGTTGTCTTCAATTTTTGGGTATCAAGGACCTTTAAAACTATGTATTCTGGCTACACCACGTGATAGATTTCTTTTACTTTACTGGGACTCTGCGCTCGTCTACAATGTAGGTCTAATTAACCTGTACAAATGTGACCTGTATCAAATATTTTCTACAAAGACGTGGTCTGACAGATTACTTTGGGTAAAACTAAAGAAAAAATTGTATAATGAAACACTAAATTTGAAGGGTTGAACATGTAGGATATGGAATTAAAATAACACATTTTAAAGGTTTTTATAAATACACCTAAATAACTTGACTCTCACAGCAGACATGTGCTTGGTGCTGCTCACACATGGCTTTTGAGACGCGTACGCAGACGTATCTTGTTCTGCTGCTTTTGTTATGAACACCATCGTCCCATTATGATTGCTAAATGTTCAGAACCAAACTTGAATGCTACAAGACACGGAATTTGTATTTGTTATTCACAGTATTAGGCTATTTTTATCGTCAAACTATTGATATCACTGTTATAGCTACAATGGCGTAGTCTACTCGACGACGCGTGGTAAAATGACGGCTTCAGGAAATAGCCACGCGTCCGTTACGTGTATTTCACTGGCTTACGTCACAGGATGACGGTAACAAAGTTTCAGAATGGGAGAGTGAGGAGTGAGGGTAAGGGGTGGGGAAGATTTTGGCACTGTTGTATCGTCTGACTGACGATGCCATTGTAATCTAGGGTTAAATTAAAAGGTAAATTTAGATGTATTTTACATTTGCCTGAAAATTTATTTTGAATTAAACATTCGAGAAACCAATAAAAACAAGCATATGGAGCAGTAAGTACGAATAATAAAAAACTATTATTCTTCAACACAGTATTGATTTGGAATTTTTTCCCAATTGAAGTCAAACATATATTATCTGAAATAATCACTATACAGAAATATCTCACTATTCCAAACAAATAAAACTTGTTGCTTTTTGTAATACAATATTTAATTTTACTAGAAAAAATACTGACTTTTGTAGAAATATTTAATTCGTAGATAATCTAGATTTGGATTGAATTATATAAAGATGGTTTAATGTATTGGACGATTTTAAGAAGTTAATAATTTAGAGTCAAATACTCAATTGTAAAAAAAAGTGAAATCCGACGGGCACAGTTCTGGGAAATTTGTTGTTGTTTTTTTCGCGGAAATGTCTTTTATTCGTATATGACCTTTCATGTCATTGGTGACTGACGGGCAGACTAACTGTCAGGTAGACTGACATACGGGCAGAGTGACAGATGGTCGACTGACAAACTGGCCAACTTACAGACGGGCAGGCTGACAGACTGACATATTGACAGATGGATAGACAGATAGATGGACGTACGGAGGTTTCTATTGAGTTTTCCGTATCAAGGACCATCTAAATCAATTATTACTACACAAAGTGTTAGATAATGAGATTTATGACATAGGAACATGGGAGTTTTTCTTATGAATAATTTCTAATTTCTCTCGCACGATTACAATCTTGTTTCTTCTTACGAAATAAAGCCTGAAAAGTAAAAACATTCGATGAGACGTTTCACTGTAACCCCACCGCTTCCGAATCGCACGTGACGACCCGACAATTTGCCGACCACAGGTGGAGTATCTGTACCCGCACCTCCAGGACGACTTGGGGCTGGCGATGCGGTCTCCGGAGTCGCTCACCCCGACCATCTACAAGGCGTTCTCCTCCAGCGTGTGGGCGCTCACGGGCATATCCCTGCTGCTCTTCGCCACGATGCTCAAGTAAGCGGCTGCGAAATAGGGCTTCAGCTTTTTTTTTTTGGGAGAGGTTTTGGATATGGCAGAAACTGCTACGCATCTTTCTAATCCTTTGACAATAAGGAAAGAGGGTTCTGAAAACGACAAACAATGAAGACAATTAACACCTTGTATGTAAGCATGTATGTATGTATGTATGTATGTATGTATGTATGTATGTATGTATGTACGTATAAAAGTGTGTAAGTATGTAAGTATGTAAATATGTAAGTATGTAAGCATGTAAGTATGTAAGTATGTAAGTGTGTACGTGTGTAAGTATGTAAGTATGAAAGTATGAAAGTATGAAAGTATGAAAGTATGAAAGTATGAAAGTATGAAAGTATGAAAGTAATGAAAAGAAAGTATGAAAGAATGAAAGTATGAAAGTATGAAAGTAGAAGTATGAAAGTATAAAGTATGAACGTAATGAGCTATGAAAGTATGAAAGTATGAAAGTATGAAATGTATGAAAGTAATGAAAGTATGAAAGTATGAAAGTATGAAAGCCTTGAAAGCATGAAAGCAATGGAGGCATGAGAAGCATGAAAGCAATGAAGCAGGGAAAGCATGAAAGCCATGAAAGCATGAAAGCATGAAATGAAGCATGAAAGCAATGAAAGCATGAAAGCAATGAAAAGCATGACAGCATGAAGCAAATGAAAGCATGAAAGCATGAAAGCATGAAAGCATGAAAGCAGAAAGCATGAAAAGCAATGAAAGCATGAAAGCATGAAACAATGAAAGCAATGAACGCATGAAAGCATGAAAGCATGAAAGCATGAAAGCATGAAAGCCTGAAGCATGAAAGCATGAAAGCACTGAAGCATGAAAGCATGAAAGAGCATGCAAAGCATGTAAAGCATGAAGCCAGAAAGCATGAAAGCATGAAAGCATGAAACATGAAAAGCATTGAAAGCATGAAGCATGAAAGCATGAAAGCAATGAAAGCATTGAAAGCATAAGCATGAAAAGCATGAAAGCATGAAAGCATGAAAGCATGAAAGCATGAAAGCATGAAGCATGAAGCAATGAAAGCATGAAAGCATGAAAGCATGAAAAAGCATGAAAGCATGAAAGCATGAAAGCATGAAAGGCATGAAAGCATGAAAGCGATGAAAGATGAAAGCATGAAAAGCATGAAAGCATGAAGCATGAAAGCTGAAAGCATGACAGCCTGAAAGCAGAAAGCATGAAAGCATGAAAGCATGAAAAGCAGGAGCATGAAAAGATGAGGCTATGAAGGGCATGAAAGGCATGAAGGCATGAAGGCATGAAAGGGCATGAAGGCATGAAAGGCATGAAGGCAGTGAAGGCATGAGGCTGAAGGCATGAAGGCATGAAAGGCATGAAGGCATGAAGGCATGAAGCATGAAGGGCATGAAGGCATGACAAGGCTGAAGCAATGGTATGAAAGCATGTATGAAAGCATGTATGAAACATGTTGAAAGCATGTATGAAAGCATGTATGAAAGCAATTATGAAGGCATGTATGAGCATGTATGAAAGCATGTATGAAAGGCATGTTAAAGCATGTCATGAAAGCATGTTATGCAAAGCATGTATGAAAGCATGTAATGACCAAGCATGTATCGAAAAGCATGTATGAAGCATGTATGAAAGCATGTATGAAAGCCATGTATAAAGGCATGTATCGAAAGCATGTATGAAAGCATGTATGAAAGCATGTATGAAAGCATGTATGAAAGCATGTATGAAAGCATGTATGAAAGCATGTATGA